CCCCCCCCCCCCCCCCCCCTCAAAGTCCTTGCCCCTAAGCCCCAGTACTCTCCCCAAAACTAAGGCACTACGGTGCAAAAGAGCTGCTTCAACATGGCAAAAGATGCCTATAACTACCAGGCTTTGGAAGACTTGGGGGAGTACATGGATTTAGGGTCTCGGGCTTTTACATTGCCAGTGTTATGTAGTGATCACATAGGGTTGTTATATATATATATATANNTATATATATATAGAGATAGATAGACGGGATTATGGTTTAGGATTTGATGTTCTGGGGACTTAGAGCTTAAGATGAAGTTTACAACGGGATATAGGGACCATAGAATCAAGTGGACAGGAAGTGGAAAATGATATGAACATTGATTTCATACACGAGCTTAGAGGGATAACAATCAATACTGGATTTAAGGTTCTAGGGTTCGTAAACGACGTGTAGTGAGGTCCAAAGACGAAAACAACTTAAGAGTGAGGATGTTTCAGCAGATCTTGTTCAAAGATCTCATCGTGTTTCTGTATCTGCCGCTGATTTCAACACAACGTTGATCTCTTGCCTACCCTCCCTAATGAATAACTCTTGCCCACTTCCTGTTCGCCTCACGTTTAGGGTTTAGGGTTNNCTTCAGCAGATGGAATATGGCTTTGGGTATATTATACTAAGATATCTATATACCCCGTATTCTACCTACTTTAGGGGGACTAGAAACTTAAACCCTGTTTTGACTATTCTGTCCCCTGCGGCCGCGTCCTCGAAGTCTTCGTTTACTCGTGGAAGTTCACTTTCAGAAGTAGCAGACTTCTGAGTTAGTTTAACTTCATGGGGACCGAGGAACTGTAACCCAGTGCCTCGTGCGTGTGTAGTTAGGGTTCTATGTGCTTCGAACCAAAACCCTGGCTGACAAACCCTGAACCCTCAAGAACCGAGCCTGCACCCCTGGACTTGGCACTAGGCGAAAGAGGATCTGGGGTTTGACACACGGTTTAGGGTTTAGGGTTTTGGGTTTGATGAAGGTTGAGGGTTTGATGAAACCCTGGGGTCCAAGATTGCAAAGTCTACCTGCATAGGGCCCTATGAATATTACCTACATGGGGACTATTTGGATCCCCCGGAAAGGGGTGGTGGGTTTTGGGAATCAGTATGTTCTTGGGTACCGGAGATGGGCTTAGGGTCTAGGGCTTCAGGACGTGTATAGTAGGTTTAGAAGTTGAGGGTAGCAAATGCCGCTACATTCTTGTTCATCAGGCCTCTGGTGAGTGGCAGGGTTGGGAAGCTTTGAGTGGGAACTCTTGGGGTCCAAGGTCTGGAGAATGTTGCATCATCCTGAGCTTGCAACTCACGGATTTTTTTTCCGGAATTCCCCCTTCCTTTGCACAGGAAACCACGGCTACGTCGGAGTCCACACCCGGCATCTTGACCAAGTACAAGACGCACAGCATCAAGATGACGGTGAAGGACTCACTGACATGGTGTTGCTGTTGTTGGCAACGGTGCTTGTGGCGCACGTCAGGGTGGTTGCACTGCTGTTGCTGCTGCCGCTGCCGCTGCCGCTACTGCTGCGCTGCAGTGCCAGTGCTGCCACCGCCGGCGCTACATTTGCTGCTCTAGGCGCTGTGCATTTGCCGGTGCCGATGCTGGGCGGTGCTGATGCAAGTCCTCTGACGGCTGCTCTGATCCAGTAGTAAGTTCTCCTGCTCGCTAGGCTTCGTCTGACGCATTTGCGAGCTTCAAATAGCCTTTGACGCTGAACCAGAGACTCCAAGCCCTGCACCTTAAGATCAACCTGCACTCCACAGTGTCATGGTTGTACCCACTGATTAGGCCTTAATTTGTGCCTTTAAGCTGCCCCCAAACTAATTTCGTAGATACAACCTATACAGCTGGAGGTAATGAGGAGCCCCTACAAGCCATAGATCCTAGATCCCAAGCCCTAAAACTCATATGCCCAAAAGCCTAAACCCCCAAACCCCTAGAACCCCAAACCCTGAACCCCCAAACCCCTAAACCCCCAAACCCCTTGAAAGCTGTAAAGCTACAAGAAGCAATCGGAGCTAGCCTGCAGGGCCTACTCCGCTCTTTCTACTCAATGTTCCCCCAAGGAGTAGCAGCGGCTGCGTGGAGCATTGCCACAGATTTCTGCTTCAGAAATTGCATTGCGAACAGTAAAAAAAATTGAATGTGCATGAGGTAAAACCCTAGACCCGTCATTCAACATCACATCATCAACGTTGGGCCTCACTGTGCATAGGATCTATACCTTCCGCCTTTCGTCGGCGTGCTGATGTCATGCTACTGTCGTGGACAATCCTCCAGTGCTGCTTCATCTTAAGGAAAAGCTGAATCTGCCATTTCTCTGTGGGCTTTGTCAAGGAATTGGCAAGCATCGCATCTGAATGAACCCACCGAAGCTGGAGCCGGGAATTGATCTGTGACTCCTTCAATGCAATGGCCTCAAGGTCCGAGCGTTTCTCTGCCCCCTTTATCACCAAGATCTCTTTGCTGAGTTTGTCCCACAAGTTCTTGGAATCGGTTACGATGGTTCCTGAGGTCTGAGCTACAACACTATCAGGATGTAGACCTAAAAGCCTTTTAGAGGGAATAAGCATCTCTGACCAAATAAACCGAAGGTGATATAAGTCATCCTCGCCATTCACAACGCCCTTTGTCTCTGCGCATGCTGGGGAACGGCATGTACGGTCAATCTTTCCGGATCTCCAGTGTGCTAAAGACACCGGAGCAATCTTGCCCTCGCGAAGCTCGGGGCTGGAGAAACCAATGACGATCCCCTCTGTGCTGGACTTGCCATCCGGCCGGTTGGCCCAGGCTGCATCAGCCCATCCAACAAGCGCCAGCTCTGGGGAGTTTGGAAAAGCGTGGACCCTGAGTTCACCTGGATTAGCTTTAATATCCCTTATAAGTTTGTTAGTACGTAGAATGGTCTCAACCTGACTGTTGGCAATACTCGACCACAGGATCCCTACATCCGCGGAGAAAGGAAAGCCCGTTTGTCCTGTAAACCAGCTGAGGCCACCCAAAGCTGCCCTAAGCTGATGCTTTTCGTGATCTGTGGTGTCTGCGGTTGGCTGCCTCGACCGGTCTCGGGACAGGTGGATTTCCTGAACTTCAGAAACGAACTCCTGCTGATCAAGGGTGATGCTGAAGTCACTATGCTGAGTAATTCTGACCCCGCACTGAGTGAAAGAGGATGACTCCCAGCTACCCCAAGAAAAATGTTCTCGAATCCTAGCCATCAACCCTGAATGAACACTATCGTCAGGAACTCCACCAAACATGAAATCATCAACATGAGCGCAAATGCAAGATCTCAAAACACCTGATTCATCGTGAAAGACCCACACGCAAGGATCCCCCTTTAACCTAGTGTACCCCAAGTCTTGCAAATATGAGCAAACCGATTTGTACCAATGTAAAGGAGCTTGTACCAGCCCGTAGGCTGCTCGCTTGAGCTTCAGCAATTCCCCGGGCTCCACGTTCATCTGTTCATAGATTTCAGGGACGGGACGTATCCAATAGTCTTCTTCCAGAAGTTCACCCTGCAAGAAAGCTGCGGTTACATCTCCCTTGGTGATGCCGAAGCGTTTCCAAGCGCAAAGCTGGAGGAAAGCTTGTCTCCCTGTTCTAGATACAGTTGGGGAAGAAGTTTGGCGGTGTTCATACTGATCATCCTGATAGCGTAAGACCACAGCCCGAGCTTTGGCTTTACGCTTTTTGGGGTCATTAACATCACCAGCATCCTTCCACGTTAACACCCAACGCATACCTACTCCAGAGGAGGGGGGAGGTTGAAGGTGTTTGGGGACCATTTCAAAACACTGGGCGCTAATGAAACTTCTTACCTCCTTCATCTTTGCTTCTCGGAACTGAGCTCTCTCTTCAGGGGAAAGATGCCGCTCATGAACTTCCACCTGCCTACGCTTGAGCTGGGACACAACATAGGCTTCGGGATTTTGGAGAAATTTCTTAATACCCCTCTTAGACTCAGGCAACTCAATTTCGATTTCCACACAAACATTGGACATCTCGACACTTTGCCTAATGTTCCCTTCTTGACAGGCCTGCATAGCTTCATCCATTTGGGGAGGTCCTACATTCCTACCTTGAGGCGGTTGTTCATGAGGACGTTTCTTACCCCGAATGCGATGGCTGAGCACCGGCTGCTGAGCCGCTTCCTCCCACTGCATGTCATCAGGCAAGTCTCCTGTGATGTTGTCATAGGTCTTTTTGTGGGGTTGAGTAGCTAGGGAGGTAATAGTCCAAGGAATTTCAACCGGACCCTTAAGCTCTTCAATGGCCCGCTCTCGATCAGTGGCAGCTCTCAACTGCTCGGGCGCCGCTTTGATGAGTCTTCCTGCACGGTGGAGCCACACACAGCTACCTGGCCTAAGCTTGCCCTCCTCGTCAACTCTAGTTTCAACGGCAAGCACTCTAGCCGGACCCACAAGGCTACCGATAGTGAAACCCCTTTCTTTTGGCCTACCAGCAACTTGCCTACGCCAATAGAAAACAAGATCCCCAGGGACAAATGACTTGAGGGGGCGCTTCCCTGCTGCTTCGGCCCTTGCAAGGCGTTGCTGAGCCTGATCCTTTAGGAAAGCTTGTTCCGCTGCAGACATTGCTTGAATGTTAGAACCAAACCCCGCATCGATCATCTCTTGAGAATGAATTGGAAACTCCGTAACCTGAGAGTCAAACAGTCTGCCCCACTCATCTGGAGCACGGCCCGTGGCGTGCTGTAAAGGTGAGTATCCGCAGTGATTGTCCCTGGAGTTACAGGCCCACAGCGCCCTTGCAAAACATTCTTCAATGGACATGTCCTTAAACTCTTCACACAAAGCTTGCATCACGGCTTTAGTGCTCTTAATAGCAGATTCTACAACCCCAATTTGCCAATGGGCTTCTGCCGGCACGAACTCCAATTGGATCCCTCGCTGGTAGCAGTAACGATCTGCCTCCTCATTGCGCCAAGCCCCGTCAGCATCCCCACGGATTAGCTCAGGCTGCCCAAAATGTGCTAACCAATGTTCTTCCATGCTCTTACGTATGACTTCCCAAGAGGCTTGTCGGTTTTGATCCTGGAACAAAATGCTCCCGGTTCTGAAACGGCATCCCTCATCGATGAAGAGGACAAACTTGTACTTGAGGCGAGTGTAGGGATGTGTCCATGTACCTACATCCGTTTGTAGAACCTGCCATTTCTTTGGGATGGTCATAAGAGTAGCGGGTCTTCTTGGGGCAGTACGAACCCTTTCTTCACAAATGGGGCACCTAAACTCCTTAGCAACCTTAAGGACATGGGGAGGAACTCCTCGTTTATTGAGGGCTTGAATGAGGGTCTTAATGCTACCGTGTCCTGAGACACTGTGGATGTGCTTTACCAGCTTGAGGATACGTTGTCTCTCTTCATCAGAGATCACTGGCTCGCCGGCAAGCGCCACATCATCATCATTGGAAGGAGGTACTTCAGGCTCAGGGTCTCCTGAACTAGTAGTCAGTTCCTGAACAATTAAACTCCAAGGCTCTTGACGATTCATAGCTTCAACAACTTTCTTGACAAACACGGGGGTGTAGAAGGCGGTGGTATAGGCCTTGTTACCTCCTTCCAGCGATGCCGTGCGGTGATTACGCTGGCAAGGAAGATGCATATGCTGAAGCATAGCATCATTCGTGGTGGCTATCGTCCAACCCTTACAGCTTAATTGTTGGGAATCACCAACACAAGTTCCTCTCTCATCAATGGCGGGAAGATCGGAACCCCTATAGCGAATGCTCCCAAGACAGCAGGTTGTCAGCGGAAGTCCAACGGCAATATGGAGAGAGTGCTGCCATCAGGTGTTCTCACGAGAATGGGTATGACCTCACCACTAGGGATGGAGTTCGTAGGTTATGTGCCCTTGTTTCCTCACATAGACCCCGACATGTTTGGATTTCATGTGATTGTGGCCCATATTCCCCTTTTCAAAGGATTAATCGCCGTACTCCTGAACAGTGTGATCGTCTTGAAGAGAAACGTAAGGCAGCACGTCTTCAGTATGATGGCGGCATTCAGGTTGCCAAGTTTGCACGTCTTTGCGGAGCTGAGATTCATTTTGAGTTGTCAGAGCGCTGCGAAGCGTGGAAGCTACCGGCCATAGAGAAGTTTGTTAGGGACAGCAAGCTTAGGGAGGTTACCTGCAATGGTTGTACGGTTGGTCTTAGGGTCCCGAATGACACGACTGAAGTCGACAGCTTTCAAGACACTGAGCTTCTTGTTGCATAACATTGAAATCTACATCTCCCGGCGGTTCTTCCCGCCCCTCGGATCGTGCTCCTTCATCTGAGACTCCAACTGGAGTTTCTGTGCTTCCAGCTCCTTGATGCGGTCCAAGGCCTCCGCTAGCTCGTCCTTCTCGTCGTAGATCGAGGTCGGCACGGGCTTTGTCGAAGAGGCGCTCGACTTGCTGTCTCGACCCTTGGGAGCACTCAACTTGCTCTCTCGAGCCGGGAAGGAGACACGACCCTGTTGGCGGCGATCTTTGGGATCCGCTCCCAGCTTCTCCATCTTGTCCTCCATGAGCTCCGGATCGGACTCCAGAGTCCCCAGCTCCACCTCCTGAAGCCAGCTCGCGAACCTGCTGAGCCTCCAGTGACAGGAGTCGCCCTCGGAAGCGGTTTTGCGAATCCAGTTGCAGTAGTCCTTGTGGAGGTTGTACACTTCCAGGAACGTCTTGTAGCCGAACTTGCCGAAACCCAGCTTCTCCGATCCGCGAGGTGGAAACTTCGCTGTAATCAACTCTGATCCCAGCGCATGGAGCTGAGGGATGGTCTTCTTCTCGGGGACATCCTCGATGTAGTCCTTCAGGAACGCGATCAGGGCAGGCTTCTTCTTGGCTGCCCGGTTGAGGCGATCGAGCTCGCCCTCGAGCGTCTTGACATCTCCTGACTTCACCGCCTGAAGGCACTCGCTCAAACGGCTCTTGAGTTGGAGTACTGTCCAGGACGCTGGAGGGTCCTCCCCGTGCTCGTTGAGCTTCGCCACCAGATTGGCACGTGTGTACGACATGATCAGGTAGCCGGGAAGGATCAGGAGGGGATACACAGGAGTGAACACGGTCACTGACTTGCTGCTGGGAGCCCAACAACGGCACTACGTTCTGTCCGTCACCTGTCCGCTCAAGCACACTGCTGGCCTTGCAACATCCATCGGTCAAGCCATACATCGCATCATCCGCATCATCACCATCATCATGTTCAGGGATCCCGTCCTCATGCACATGCTCACAGAAAGTGCAAAATCGGGAACTTCGTGAAACAGCTTCTAAACTGCACACAGAACAAGCTATCTTCGAGAAACAACACTCAGGTCTCCCTGGGGCCCTTTTGTCCATGTTCCCCAAGGGAGTGCTGTCCCTACTCAGCTGAGAGGCCTTGAAAAACGGTCTTGCGGTACGAGGCCTTCTCTAGAAGATTGCTGGCTAAGGGCATCAGAAGATGGCCGTTGTCTGCAGCTTCCAGCTGCACAACAGCACACGGATTAATCTGTTGAAACACACACTGATTGGTGGAAAAATCTATCACAGCCCCTAACTGCTTGAGAGCTTTCACAGAGACCAAAGCTGGCTGCTCAGGAGTGTCATGAACATGAAGCTGCATCTTGCCCGTGCGCTCCGCCATGTCGACCCGGAGGTGGACCGAAGAAATGCACTCCTTGCGCTCACCGTTCCCGAACCTGAACGTGGGTCGCAGACCAGGCAAGACGGTAACCTTGTCGTCGTGGCCCTTCTTCAGGTTCAGCCGCATAATGGCCTCGAGAGCGTCCACGGAAGCAAGACTCGCGGTGGCCCCGCAGTCTACTATCCCCATGCCTGAGGCGATGACATCTCGGTGATTTGTCAGCGCCGCTTCAGCTGAGAGAATGTCCTCCGTCTCCGCGCCGAACACGTCCTCGATCTTCTGCGGAAGCATGCCGTGGTAGCGCTCGAGGTTGTACTCGCGGTCCTTCGTGTCCGGCGTGTCGTCTGTCGAAAAGGATCATGCTATCGGGGAGCTTCAGGGAGTCCGTGTGGTCCTTCGTGTCCGGCGGGTCGTTGTCGGTCGCCACGGCCATCGTCACGAAGGCGATTTCGGCCTCCTCCTCCGCATGCTGGATGCTGCCACCCTTCTGAGGGCACGCCTGAGTAGCATGGCTGCCCCCGCAACGAAGACACTTGGTAGTCTTCTCCTTGCCCTTTCCACTTGAGGAGCTTGGTCCGCCACGGCCCTTTCCACCATCGCTCCTACCCTTCATAGGGTAGAACCTCCGATTCATCTTGACTTGATGCTGTCGCCACCGAGCATCCTTCAGAGTTTTTCGGTTCTGAGCAATGGCCTCCAAAGCGTCGTCGATGGCGTGCTGCTCTTCCTGGAAAGCGGCAAAGGCCTCCGGCTCGTCGTACGGGTCAGGGGCAATGAGGTCCTCGGCAACGATCGCGTCCTCGTCATCGCTAACGTCGGCCCACATCGCGTGTTCCTTCTTGCGATCTCGCCGTAGAAGGTCTTCGTCTCCCCACTGTTCTCGCAAGGCTTTAGACACAGCAGCCACTGAAAACTCTCCACGGATGGCTGCCAGGATGTTGGCTCGCTCATTGGCATCCAGGCCGCTACGATGCAGGAGGAGAAAACCAACAAGGAAGTCTGGGAGAAAGTCTTCCTCCTCCGTATGCCAAGTGTTTGGCGGTTCGTACTCCGCCTGATGCCAATCCTGCATGTTCCACCCTGACGCCTGCCACCAACTCCAACCACTCCAGCTGGCATTCGTCCACTGCTCATCGTCACGCTGAGCATCGTCGTCGTCCTCGTCCTCGGGAAGCCTGCCGTAGTCGTCGAAGGTCTCTCGGTCTCGAGGTGGTCCACGTGAGAAGTCGTCCTGCTCGGCCCCGGGCTCCATGCGCGTCGACGTCGAGCTTCTCCTGGAGCCACGCGTTCGGGAAGCCTTCGGGTTGAACTCTTCCTGGACGCGCTTTAGGGCACGGGAAGCTTCCCACAAGGCTTCGCTGTGCCGGTTAATCCACTGAGTCATGGATTCCTGTCTGCGCCTTTTGAGATTGAAGAAGAATCTACTGACCAGCTGGCTAGCTTGCACCAGTGACGGCCGCTCCATAGCCGCCTCCAGGTGCTCCAACAAGGCATAAACTCCTCGGGGGTTTGCTAGCCACTGAGGATTCTGCAGATTCTTCTTGCGAACAATGGTTCTTGCCACTCCGCTCAACTCCTTTGCCAAGCGGGGTCCGGCAAGATACCTCTTGTGAGTCTCGAAAGTGAACATGTACTGAATGGCTTCTTCCCGGTAGTATGGAAGCAGCTCTGGTGTGCCATCGAAAATAGGCACTCCTTCTTTTGCAGTACGTTCTATCCCACTTGCGGCCTTATAAGGACGCTCCATCCCTGGATCGAACCCGCACTTGCCCAAGGGCTTGTGCAGCGACACTTAGCCCCGTCGCAACCGGGCTCCGCCTACCATGAAAGCTGTAAAGCTACAAGAAGC